GGCTGAGTGGTATGACTTGCAGTCCAAGGAAATATTTTTGTCCAAAAGCACACTCTGTCCATATCGTTTCATAACATGCTTCGAAAGATGTCGCCGAAATGCAGCAACTTCTTAAGCCAATAGTTTCGACTTCATGACACTTCTTATGAACTTAATGTACTGCAAGTAAGAACCAAATTGGCAGGAAAAATAAAGGATTAATTCAATCCATCATAATGTTTTGGTCTCGCAAAATATTTCCATTAGCTGTGTCAGACTAGTGTTTACATGCCTGGAGTTTACTCCAAAGGCAATTACGCCAAACGCTAGCAATGATTTGCTACTGCCAAGAATAGGTACTACAAACTCGGAGATTCGTAACAAATCGCGCGTAACAGACACGAGTATTGCGTTCATTTAATTTTCTCATAATTATTTTAAGTAATATTGTCTTTTACTCCAAAGTTGTGCAAATTTGTTGCCAAAAGGTAGAACGGACTGGTAGAGGAATAATAAATAGAGTAAAAAATCCTATATCAACGAAAAATTTTGTGTCACATAAATTAATTAACCAAAGATGTGATTTAAACAACTCGATTAGTCCCATTTCAAGTCGAATTTAATTATTTAGACCACAAGAAACGGAGCTTAATGCCATTTCCCCCTTGTTTTAATATACCGATCGACGCCGCGACTCAGTCAGAATTGAGTGATTAACGCCACTAAAACGGGCTCAGATTCCAAGAAATAATTCTTAAACTAGGGGCTTTTCTCCTAGAAATAGGGTGGTCGTCTGGTCACAGTCGCTTAAGTAATAAAGCTGAACTTTGTTAAAGTTTAGAAGTATCAATAATGAACTTGCCCAACAATCATATCCGTGGTGTCTGTAGTTGTGGCCGTATTGTCGAGTCAGGTCCATTGCTTGCAAATTGGTCCATGTCTTTGTTCCCCCTTGGGAAGTGTCAGTCGTCTTCCACTGCCAATTTCCATTGGCAGAAGGTCCTAAAATCTGATTGGATGAATCTGCCCCGATGTTATATAATTGTCAATTGTGTTTCTATAATTGTCACCAACGTGTATGTCGATTAGACGAGCATAATTTGGGGAGGGGAAGAACTTAGTATGGGTACTTAAGTGCCGCGATGAATTGTTGATCTGGCGCTAGAGCAGTAAAGACTTAGCATTT